AATAGTGTTATACAATCAAGTATAATATGTGTACAATCACAGAAAAACAAAATTATAATAAAGCAATGAACTAACGAAATTTGCAGATAAAGTCTTGCGGATTTGTAATGTCATTGAAATAGAATTTTGCCCCTAATTAGTTCTTGTAGTTCTACAAGCATCTGCTCCACCAAAATCTAACTATCGATGGTCAAAGTTTCAGCACTGAAACTTTGGTTATGGCAGACTTCTTTATGTTTTTCTCTCAGGAAGTTTGTACGAATGAAGGTTGAAAATTAATGGAACAAATGCAAAAAACGTCGTTTGAGATATATAGACATTTAGATGCCCTTTCAAAACAGGTGTAATTGTTTGATACAAATGTAAACACGAATAATTCCTGAAACAAGCGACAAGAATACGTGTACAAAATATATTTTTTTGTATTAATGATTTTGGGGTTACAATCTCTTTGTAATTTGATCCTCTGATTCTATCTTCGTACGATGTGGGTTTGTGGATGAGTTGTTGATCCAAAGGGCCGTCGGGGCTTGACCTAAGGATGCACAGTTGATGAATGGATCTTCAAGGGGCGTTGGGCTTGATCTTGAAGAATGGGTGTATGAGTTTGTTGAGGTTGTTGATCCAAAGGGGCCGTTGGGGCTTGATCTTAGGATGAACGGATGATGAATGATGAACACTTTCTTCAAGGGGCCGTCGGGGCTTGATCTTGAGTTTGTGGGAGTTCTTCAAGGGCCGTTGGGGCTTGATCTTGAATTGGTTGGAGTTCTTCAAAGGCCGTCGGGGCTTGATCTTGAAGGTTGATGGATGAGCGGATCTTCAAGGGCTTCTGGGCTTAATCTTGAAGAACGATTGGATGTGTGGATTTGTTGAGGTTTGTTGATCCAAAGGGTCGTTGGGGCTTGATCTTAGGATGAACGGATGACGAACGATGAACACTTTCCTCAAGGGCCGTCGGGGCTTGATCTTGAGTTGGTGGAAGTTCTTCAAGGGCCGTCGGGGCTTGATCTTGAAGGTGGATGATGAACGATGAACACTTTCCTCAAGGGCCGTCGGGGCTTGATCTTGAGTTGGTGGAAGTTCTTCAAGGGCCGTTGGGGCTTGATCTTGAATTGAACGGATGATGAACGATGAACACTTTCCTCAAGGGCCGTCGGGGCTTGATCTTGAGTTGGTGGAAGTTCTTCAAGGGCCGTTGGGGCTTGATCTTGAAGGTGGATGATGAACGATGAACACTTTCCTCCAGGGCCGTCGGGGCTTGATCTTGAAGGTGGAAGTTCTTCAAGGGCCGTCGGGGCTTGATCTTGAAGAACGATTTGACGAAGAACGAAGAGTGCTTTCTTGATCCTTCGGGATTTGCTTGAGAGCTTTAGAGTTTCAAGGCTTCTTCCTTTCTTCCTTTCTTTCCTTCCTTCTTTCTCTCTTTTTTCCCCAAAATGAATGCCTTGGCCTCCTATTTATAGAATTCCAAAACTTGATTTTTGGATTTAAATAATCAGATGAAATAAATCATTTCTGCCAGGTATTGACACGTGTCATATTTGATGACTTTTCCAATTTATTTCGATTTTTCGTTGAATCACACGCTACATGTAAAATTTATGTGACACGTGAACGTTGAAATTTTAATTATTGGTCAACATTCATTTCACCGAAATTTTGATGTCTACAAATGCCCCCACTTCAAGGCGCGTCGTAGGCATGTGCTTGTCACGTGTAGAAGATGCGTTTTGAAGTCCCTTAATGTAGATGTCAACCCAAGGGCCGTCGAGGCTTGATCTTGAATTGGGCTGGAAATTTCTTCAAGGGCCATCGAGGCTTGATCTTGAGTTCAACTGGAAGATTTTCTGGTTTCCTCCAATCGTTGATTTTCACACAGGCTTAATCTTGAACTGGGCTGGAGGATTCTTTTGGTCCCCTCCGAAGGTCTGAACTTACTCTTTTTTTCTGGAGTTGAATTTGATTCAAGGGTGGTGAACACTTGATTTTGAATCGGACTTGTGCTTTCTTCAAGGGCCATCGAGGCTTGATCTTGAGTTCGACTGGAAGATTTTCTGGTTTTCTCCCATCGTTGATTTTCCGCAGGCTTAATCTTGAACTGGGTTGGAGGATTCTTTTGGTCTCCTCCACTCGTTGATTTTTCTTTGTGCTACTCTTGAACTGGGCAGCAGGATTCTTTTGGTCTTCCCCGAAGGTCTGAGCTTACTCCTTTTTTTCTGTTTCTTTGTTCAATCTCTCCAATTCGTATTGAAGAGGGTTAGAGGATAGCTCAGCATATGCAGTTGTAGCTTGTCTCCACATGCTTCAATGCATCATTTTCACTTGCCTTACTTGCTCCCCTTTGCAGAAGTGGTATTTCCTTATGCAGGTTTAGCATCTTCTCTTGTACTATTTGTTCCCGATGCAGGAGTTGAATGCAAACCTTGCATTTGAATGGACCATCACTTCTTGGTGGCAGCGCAAGTTTGAGTGGAGGTTCCGACATATTGCTTTCTCTGTCCTTATCCTGGCAGGTGAGAACAAGGGCAAAGGAAAAGATAGGGGAAAAGCATGATATGAGATACCTTTGCTTTCGCCCTTGATGATATGAGATACTTTTGCCTTGGTGTCATTTGTTTGCAAGGGTATTCCCGGAGAGGAAGAAAACTGAGCATTTTGAGATGCTTTGCTGGGAGTGTACTCTCGGAGGTGAGGAAGAGTTAGGCATTTTTTTTTTTCTTGTTTGCAGGTTTGTCTTGCCATAAAAGATGAAGGTCGACATATATAGGGATTTCCCAATAGCAAGTGGTGGTACTGTTCTTTTACCCTTGTCGACAAACGTTTTGATCCAGCAAATCCGGCTTTTTGAAATAGTGACGACTCTTCGATCTTTGAATACGTCTCTTTGATTTCTGAACGACGCCTCTTCGATTTCTGAACGAGCGTCTCTTTTGACAAAGTGGCACGCGTTTTCTGAAAAGCAGAGAAAGCGTCGCCGAACTTTGCGATTGTCAGCTAAAGATGTGTAGCTGCGATGATGACCTCCACGTGATCTTTTGACAAAGTGGCACCCGTGCTCTGAAAAGCCGCGAAAGCGTCGCCAGCCTCCACGTGTTTTCAACTTTGTCGGAGATCTTTTGACAAAGTTGAACGCGTTTTCTGGAAAGCCGAGAAAGCGTCGCCTAACTTACGCCGGAAAATCCAGCTTTTGAGATTTGCAGAGCGATGTCTCTTCACTTTTGAATAAGCGGCCCTTCGATTTCTGAACCAACGCCTCTTTGATTTCTGAGTAAGCGCCTCTTCCTTTTTATAGAGGTATTGATCACCTGTAACATGCATAATTTGAAGGTTGCTCATTCCTGAAAATCATCTCCGGCCTTTTGAGTTTTAACTCCATCCACCCATCTCTTTTAACACCTTTGAAAAATGGCTAACCCATCGAACCTTAGCTTAGAATTGAGTCTCAGCAGTGATCCGGTTGCGCCGCTTCAAGGTAATGTATAGTGTCCTTCTTTCTTATCTTCTAACGGTCCTCTTACAGGTGAAGACTCCGTGATGCAGGACGCCACAACAGCTACAATAGTAGCTAGGAACCTCCTTACTCCAAAAGATAGTAGGCTGCTGTCAGGACGGTCCGATGAGTTGGCCGTTCAAGAGTCCCTCGCTCTTAGTGTTCAGTGTGCGGGCTCTGTGTCCAACATGGGCCAACGCCTGCTTGCTCGGTCCCGTCAAGTGGAATCATTGATGGCAGAGGTGGAAGATCTTAAGCAGGAGATTAAACAGCTTAAGTACGAGAATAGAAGTTTGCATGTGCTTGCAAATAACTATTCGTCGGGCATGAAGAGGAAGCTTGATGAGATGCAAGAATCTCAAGGTCGCATTCAAAGTGACCGTCAAAGGCTTGCGTCTTTCTTCCAGAGGCACATTTTTCCGGCGTCATCAAGCGTTCCACCAAGTATTGGGGCCTCGAATGATCTATCTTCGTTGCTTCCCGCTCCTGGAGTTTGGCCAAGTAGTGGGGCTTCACGTGAACAACCTTTGTGAAAGGTCCATTTTTCTCTTTCTTTGTTAGATACATTTCTTCTTCTTTTTTTTTTTTTTTTTTTTTTTTTTTTTTTTTTTTTTTTTTCGCACTTGTAATTCTTGAAAATCAATGAACATGCTTCGTTTTATTTAGTGTATTGTGCTAAATACAGATAAAACATGTACATCACCGTCCATCATCAATTTTTTTTATTCATTTTTTTTGCTTTCGGTGGCACTGATCCACCATTCATTTATATATATATATATATATATATATATATATATATATATTTCAGATGGTGCCAGAAGCACCACCATTACTTTTTTTTTTCTTTTTATATATAATTTTTTCTTTTTGCACATGGTTCCAGAAGCACCATCATTGTTTTTATTATATATATATATATTTTTTTATTATTCTTTTGAAAGATGCTTCCCAGCATCATCTTGCTACTTTTTTTTTTTTTTTTTTTTTTTTTTTTTTTTCCTTTATATGGCCATCTGCAACCCTGAGTTCGTGGGTGAAAACCCAGGCGAGTCCGAGAGAAGACGGAGGAGGTCTTTGGGTGTGAGTTGACAAACTTTGATTTTGTTGATCACATTCAAAGGCAGCAGCCATGGCGGAGGTGCAAAAGCAGCCAGAGCTTGAAGCAGAGTGTAAGGCGTTGAGTTTGAAGGCCGGCTAGTCGTTTGACAGCGGTCAATGAAGCTCTTCGTTAATTTTGATCATGGTGGCCAGGGTGACGAGCTCGAGGTTTGTTGGCAGCGTGAGGAGGTCAATGATCGAAGAGAGAAGGCCACGCTGCTCATCCTTAGAGAGAGACAAACTGCCCATACTGCAACATGAAGATCTTACTGGGCTAGATGGGCAGAATGGAGAGCATGGACGAAGAGCTCAACGAAGACAGAGACGGTTCGGGGCTTGGTGGATTTGTCGCTGCGTTTTGGTGAGATCTCCGTTGTTGTTGTTGTTTTTTTTTTTTTTTTTTTTTTTGTAGTGCTGCAAATGTCTCCATTGGTGGAGATGAAGAAGGAACACTCCGCGGGAGGAGTTGACGTCGGCAAAGACGGCAAGGATGGTTGCTGCTGCAATCGGTGGAGGCGTTGACGGGCAGCGAACAAGCTACTGTTGGAGTTTGAGCTCCATTTGCTCCTCCACCACTGAAGCCTCTCTGCGTTCTCTGCTTATTCACCCCAATGGCAGCTATCACCGTAGTATGCATCCATTTCCCACCTTTCAAGCTCATCCGTTGCGGTAGAGATAGCAAGGATAAAATCGAAAAGAATTTCTCAAGACACCCAACTCCCCGGGTCTCGCAAGTGATGATGATGATGAATCGGACGATGCCGCAACAGTGGAGGTGAAGAAAAATATGGGTAGAGGGACAACGGTGATGTTTGTTTTAAATTTTGTGTCTACGGTGCAACAGACTTACATTTCATGGGTCCCTTGCATTGCAGCCGCTGGGCAGACGAACCCATCATTGGCCATCATTGGCCAAAGTAAGATTGGAAGGCATGGGAACTTTGGGTGGGGCCATACCGAACTGGGTCAAGTCCCCCGCCGTCTTAACAGCCGTTTTCAGATCGGTCATCGGATACCCAGCAAAAACGGTGCCGTTTCCCACACTCACAGGAATGCTACCCCCGTCGGCCAAAACGGCATTGGAGGCAGAGACCAAGTATTCATTGTTAGTAAACCCCACAAACACCCTCCACGACTTGAGATCGTCGAGCCCGTTGTTGAGCACCGTAAGCACCGACTCGAACCGGTAGGGCTGCTGGGACCGGTTTTTTGACCTCAGGCGGGAGCTGGGCTCCGGTGGTGTAGGCGTACGACAGGAAAACGCCGTTGCAGGAGTCGGAGGCCGGCGGCGGAGCTTGGGCGAGTGAGTAGGGGAGGATCGTGACGGCAAGGAGAGGTTGGCGAATTTGGGGCTGCTGATACAGAGGCACTTGCACCTGTTGATTGGCTTGTACCTGATTTTGACTTTGAGCCGCAATAGGAGCCTGGACATTTGGAGGTTGAATTTGGTGCAGGAGCAGGCCAGCCGAGCCCAGTTCCGCGGGTCCTCCTCGAGTGTTTTTTCCTTGATCATGTCCGCCACTGTTTGGCAAGTCAGGTCCAGCAAGCTCTTTATGTTCAAATAATTCGCAGCCAGGATGAGATCGAAGAGCGTGGCCTGGTCGACCTTGACGAATTCGGCGTCCCAAGCCTTGAGGTCTTCATCGACGGAGGCGCGTTCTTCGGGCTTAGCGGCCTCGACGTGCTTCCGGCAGTACTCGATGACCTTCGCCAAGATCTTGCTGGTGACGTTGGGCAGCGGGATCCCGTTGTCGGCACAATCGTCCTCCACCATGTGCTTTATCGTCTGAGACATCAAAGCCACCGCCTCGTCCACCTCGAACGTCTCGCCGTCCGAGCTCTTCAGAGTTATCTTCCTCTCTGACGACATCGTTTCGTTGATGCCTTAACCCTAGAAACCCAGAGAAGAGAGAGAGAGGATATCGGGATTTTTGGTTTAGGGAAGGAGAGGAGGTTGATTTGAGTGATGGGTGGGCTTAAGGTGGGAGTGGAACCAGCAGAGGGACACGGAACACTATTGAAGTGTTAAAAGTAAAGTGGGTGTTTGCTTTTGTATATAATTGTGTCGGGGGACCGTGACGGCATCAGATCGATTCCAAGATAGGGAGAGAGAGAGAGAAAGGGAGAGGCCGATCCAATTTTGAAGAAGAGCCGCCACAAAGATCTGAGAAAGAGAGAGAGATTGAGAGCTGTGCCTGGGCCCGGATTTGGGCTTCAATGAGGATCTGCACCGTCCCTTTGTCTAGGGCCTTGAGGTCCATCTGCTAAACCTGGGGCTGCTACTGTATATGTTATTTGGGCCGAGAAGGAATTTATATTTATTTTTTTTTTTTAACACATATGTACTTTTTTTTTTTTTTTTTTTTTTTTTTTTGAATAGAGAATATATATATATATATATATATATATATATATATATATATATTTTCTAATACATAGTAACATATGTATTTTTTTTTTTTCTTTTGAAACCAACAACATGTAATTCTTTTGTACAAAGAACGTAATAATATTGACTTTCATTAGTCACTTTTACTACAACCTCATTTTGATGTGACTGAACTCAAAATTAAACGTTCGAGCTACCTACGTACCCTTCCAACGAAGAGATCAAGTCAAAACGTAGTTCAAACGTTTTTTTTTTTTTTTTTTTTTTATGATGGTGTGACTGTACTTCAAGTTTTGAAGTTTCAAGTTGCCTACGTACCCTTGGTTGAGGAGGGATCAAGTCATGACGTAGTTCAAATGAGTGATGGTTTTGATGATGATTTTGATGATGATTTTGCCGTACACAGTTTATGCTCTTGCGGGCCAGGAGCGTTTGGTGCCGTTTGCATTTTCAGCTCGTGCAGGCAAGGAGCGTTTGTTGTCGCCTTTTATGCTCGTGCGGGCAAGGAGCTTTGGTTGTCGCCTTTTAGGCTCGTGCGAACGAGGAGCTTTTTTTGAATTTGTCAAACGATCTTAGAGGGGCATTCCTTGCAATCTTCATAGCAAGGAGTCTTGACTGAGTGATTGAAGAAGTCTTTGGGGAAGAAATCGCGCATTGTGATGGCAACGGACGATCTTTGTGTCATAACTTCATCATCCTCAATACTTTCATGTAGCTTTGAAGGTTGACGGTAGCTGCTTTGCCCCCTTTCCGATTGGCGAACTTGTGGAGGAGGCCTATGTTTCTTGTGCATTTTCTTTGGAGTGACATAAGTCCATCCTTCAACTTCACTTGACTTGACTGGCATGGTTTTGGAGCATGCCCCCAGCGGTCGAGGTGAAGATTTTGAGTTCAAAGAGCCAAAAGTGACGGTGGTATAGTTTGACTTCACCACATCATTAAGATCTAGCTCGATGATCCCTTTCTGAGCCAACTTCATGATGAGATCTTTTAGCACAAAGCACTTTTCCGTCGGATGACTAATGAAGCGGTGGAATTTACAGTACCTTGGATTGTCAGTACGGTTCATATCTTCTGGCCGTTTGCACTCAGGGAGGTCGATCACCTTTTTGTCAAGCAAGTCTTTCAACATGGCAACCACGTCAGAGTCGGGGAATGGATAAGTCTTCTCCTCAAGCTCCTTCAAAGTGCGTCTACGTATCTCTTGATCACGAAAAGCTTCGGTTTGAATCGCCTTGCTTCGTGTAGGGATTTTGACTGGAGTTGTGTTGACCGTCATTGCTTCCTTGGTGGGTTTCCACGTAGCCTTATCCACCTTTGGCCCCAAGACTTTGTCATTCTTGTAGTCGGCGATCTGTTCTTTCTTCCCATGACGGGTGATGCTTAACTCCATATCATGGGCGCGGGTGTCTAACTCCTCGAATGTTCGTGGTTTGATGCCTTGAAGGATGTAGTGTAGTCCCCACTGCATGCCTTGAACGCACATCTCAATGGCAGAGGTTTCAGAAAGCCGATCTTTGCAATCCAGACTTAAAGAACGCCATATATTTATGTAGTCAACGACAGGTTCATCTTTCCACTGTTTCGTGCTGGTCAGCTCTAACATGCTTACAGTACGACGAGTGCTGTAGAAACGGTTGAGGAATTCCCTTTCTAGCTGGTCCCAACTGTTGATAGACTCAGGTTCGAGGTCAGTGTACCAGTCAAAAGCGTTACTTTTCAGCGAACGCACGAACTATTTGACGAGGTAGTCTCCCTCTGTCCCAGCATTGTTGCAAGTTTCAATGAAATGGGCGACATGTTGCTTCGGGTTGCCTTTTCCATCGAACTGCATGAATTTTGGGGGCTGATAACCCCTTGGCATCTTCAAAGCATCAATCTTCTTGGAGTAAGGCTTTGAGTACAGTACGGAGTCATGTGAGCTTCCTTCGTACTGTGTCTTGATAGTGCTTGCGATCATCTCCTGTAGCTGCTGGATAGAGAGAGATCTCATGGATGTCGTTGCCTGGTCTAGCTTCGGCTTCTCTTCGACTTTCTCCGCTGGTGGCTCCTCTTCTTCGTCGCCTTCTTTCTTTAATAGGCCAACAATTGGGTCGACTTTCACGTCGGGCAGCGCATCTAGTTGGTTGACAAGTGCGGCAATCTGCAAGTCCTTCTCTTCCACAGTCCGTGTGAGCTTTGCGATTGCTTCATTCATCTGAGCTAGCTGTTCCTCGATTGAAGTTGCTCCCGTGGTCATGACTTGCATGGTTGTACTGCCGCTCGAATCAGCGTCGGAGAGTAGGGACTCTGAGTATTTCCTTGGGCTCTCCCCTTTTGATGCCCTTAGCGAGGCTAGGGTGATCACAGGCTCGTACCTCAGGTGCTCTTGTTCCTTTGACAGAGTTAATGCAGGGGCGGAAACCGCAGCAAACAGATCTCTTGCCTTACTTCGGGTTATGATGCCCGAAATATCACCACTTGCGGCGATGATGTTCTTGTTCTTTGCTTTGATTGCAGGAACAGCTTGATCCTTTCTTGATGCCATTTGCGTTTTTTGATGATTTGAGGATAGAGATGAGAGGTAGAGATTGTCCCACTGGGCGTGCCAAATTTGTAAACACGAATAATTCCTGAAACAAGCGACAAGAATACGTGTACAAAATATATTTTTTTGTATTAATGATTTTGTGGTTACAATCTCTTTGTAATTTGATCCTCTGATTCTATCTTCGTACGATGTGGGTTTGTGGATGAGTTGTTGATCCAAAGGGCCGTCGGGGCTTGACCTAAGGATGCACAGTTGATGAATGGATCTTCAAGGGGCGTTGGGCTTGATCTTGAAGAATGGGTGTATGAGTTTGTTGAGGTTGTTGATCCAAAGGGGCCGTTGGGGCTTGATCTTAGGATGAACGGATGATGAATGATGAACACTTTCTTCAAGGGGCCGTCGGGGCTTGATCTTGAGTTTGTGGGAGTTCTTCAAGGGCCGTCGGGGCTTGATCTTGAAGAACGATTTGACGAAGAACGAAGAGTGCTTTCTTGATCCTTCGGGATTTGCTTGAGAGCTTTAGAGTTTCAAGGCTTCTTCCTTTCTTCCTTTCTTTCCTTCCTTCTTTCTCTCTTTTTTCCCCAAAATGAATGCCTTGGCCTCCTATTTATAGAATTCCAAAACTTGATTTTTGGATTTAAATAATCAGATGAAATAAATCATTTCTGCCAGGTATTGACACGTGTCATATTTGATGACTTTTCCAATTTATTTCGATTTTTCGTTGAATCACACGCTACATGTAAAATTTATGTGACACGTGAACGTTGAAATTTTAATTATTGGTCAACATTCATTTCACCGAAATTTTGATGTCTACAACAAATTCAAACAAATACAATTGCTTGAAATAATCTGAAAGATTTAAGAATAATTTAATTAATCTCCTAATTAAACGTTTAACTAATTAACCTCATAATACGAAAAAGGACACATCGGGACATTATAAAATTTTCGTCCGAATTCCCATTTTGGGCTCATAATAATAGCGCGATGTCCCAATTCTGTAATGAAAATTGAACTTTCCATTTCATACCCAATTATTATCGTTGTTTGTCCCAGATACTCTTGGCTCTTTTCAAGATTGAAATTTTAACTCAAACATTGTTCTTCAACACCAACACTAACCATATCCCACCCCGCTCCGTAGCCTTACCTCACGCTCCATCCCAATTCGTTTTAATGAAATCTTTGCTTACTTTGGTATTGTTTATATTAACTTTTAATCCATCTTCTTTTTTTTTTTATGTGGTCAGATTCTAATTCTAGTGAAGGTGAAACTATATCGCAAGTTGATACTGAAACTGTCATGGTTTGTAAATTAAGCAATGTGTTGTTGAGACAAGAATATATTGTCTTTAGTAAAAAAATGTTCACTTAAAGTTAACATGATCAATTGTGCAAATTCACATTTTGGCAAGAATAACTGGCATGCGCATGCATTCATTCAACTAAGAGCAACACCAGCGTTGCAAAGGCCCCCTAGGGCAACTCATTATTGAATAGCCTTCAGTGAACAATAACTGTCTTTAATGAATAGTAATTGCCTTTTGCATTTTCACCCCTAAACTGAATAGCCATGATAATATGCAATAAAATATTAGTATTTTTTATTTTATAAAATAATAAAAAATAATTCTATTTCAAATTTCGAATATGATTTTTAATCGGTCTCGTTGTACCACGTTTCATTAAATAAGAAATTACAACCCAGAGTATTTGAAAAAATATAAAATTGTGATGTAAGGTGGAAGATAATGATAAAATATTTAAAGAAAAATTATTATTATTTTTAAAAATTTTAAAATTTTTTTGGATTTTTTTATTAATTGTTTACATTTTTTTTATTGCTTTTTTACATTTTTTGTATTGATTTTATAATGTGGCTGACGTCATTCTAATGTCAGTCTTGCATCATGTGGCCTCAAGCTCTCGGGCTACCTATTCGAGCCGGGCCTCTTACTTGGGCCTCCCCCGAACCCAATCGCCTGCATAAGCTGGAGCTGTTAGCTGGGGCAATTGGGTTGGAGCAATAGCCGATTCACCGGGCTATTGAATACGATGGAGTTGCTCTAAAATCAACGAGGTAGAGCAATAGGGTCTATGTTCTTCAACTAAAATCAACGAGGTAGAACAATGCGCATGCAAATTCACATTTTGGCAGGAATAACCGGCATGCATTCATTCAATCTGACCTTCTCTAGACTCTACCAGGCAAAAAGGTTGCGCATATATGAAAACGATTAATAATTAGCTAG